AATTCTCTTACCAAAACTTACTCTTAAAACTCTGGAACGTAATTTGATATATCTAAATGTTTTAATACGTTTTAAATATTGTCGCTATCAGTGGATTGCAGCTTTTTTTTTAATACATTTATGAGAATGGAAGAGTAATAACTGTTACTCATACAAGGAGACTTAAATTCCTAGTTTCTTGAATTGAATTTAAAAATCCATAAACCATTTACTAGATTAACAAGCAATGAATAATTGAGAGTTCAAATGGAAACAGGAGATGAAAACACAAGGGATGAAAAAAAGTGTGCTGGAAATATTACACATATAGTTTGTGACAAAAGTATGATATACTCTACGAATCTCGTCGTGGGAGGAATCGTAGAGAAGATCGGTTAGTGGTGTTGTAAAATAAATGTTGAAATAGACACCGATTGCTAATAATACGATTAATAATTCTAAGTGCAAGATCACGATCGTATTTCATCAAATATTCAATGGATTTTGAGTTCTATTAGCTACCACATTGACGATCTATATTAAGCTCGACATCCAAGTGTCGAAATTACCGAGGAAGAACCGATCAATAAACATAGTTGAAAAAGCGAAAAGTGTGATGATATAATAAAAAAAAAAATAAATAAAAAGAAATAAGATGAATATTAGATCGTTGCGATATTTCTCTCTCTGAGAGAAAAATGACAGCGATATACAGGGTGATTCATCTAAACTTGCACGCCTGAAATAGCTTTGAAAATACGCGTCTAATGAAAAATTGTTTAGTACAAAAATGTGGCGTGTCGTGAAATTTCCTAGGTCATCTTTACTCTTTTTAACTAGACCATATGTTTTTGATTATCGTAAAATATCTCTTTAATCATTAGGTTTAAGATTAACATGGTTTATGTTAATATGGTTTATATTAATATGGTTTATATTTTTCTAGTACTTATTATGGTTTAGGTTAAGTTTAAGTTTATATTTTATAATATGGGTTAGGTTAGGTTTAGGTTAGGTTTAGGTTAGGTATTATATTTTATAATATGGTTTATATTTTTCTCTTTTACATGGAATTTAATATCCTTCCGATTTATGAAAACAATAGATACGGTCCAATTAAAAAGCAAATAGAGGTAAATTGGAAATATTGGAATTCCCTTCAACACACACGAATAATTGACACGCCATAATTTGCCACCCTTAAAACCACACTTTTACATTAATCCCTCTATGGGCCAAATATTTTTCTTGACTGTAAAAAAAGAAAAAAAAAGATTTATGTAACGTAAAGTCAACAAGTATCAATGATTTCAGCAGTTTTCAACAATTTTATTATAAAGTTGCACTGGTTAATAAGGAGACGTTGTACAACAAGCCGCCATCTTGGGAGAAAGTTCTTACATTGGTGTGTGACTTGAAAGTTACACGGGCCCATAGAGGGTTAGACAATGTTTCATTAGGCACATAATTTGAAAGTTATTTATTTACGTGAATCACCCTGCACGTTGCCACTCGTTTCGACCAACTTGAGAGCACAGCTCGGCAAATCTCGTAACAGAGGGGCAAGCACGCCGACGTATCCAAGGGGCACTCTCACGTTGCCGCCGGGTATCTCGATGTAACTTCCGAACTGATCCGCAGAAACCAGCGACAGATCGTCGCCGCATCGACACCTCACGCAGTTTGTCATTCCGTACATGACACGGGCCGCGTCGTACCTGAAACGGCAAGATCGCTAACGATAACCGAGGGAGAACAGTTCTCAAGGCCGTGTCATTAAGGACGCAGAGATGAAAATAAAAGAGAGAGAGAGAGAGAGAGAG